ATGAGTACGAGCGAGAGTTCACCAGACTTGCAGGTTTTGCACCGGATCTCGTTCGCACGGAGGCCCAGACAGCTCAGCGGTTCATTGATGGACTTTACCCAGCAGTCCGTCATAACATCGTGGGACACGGGACACAGACGTGTGCACGAGTAGTCTCTATCGCCCAGGAGGTAGACGCTAGCATCAGGAGGGAGGCCATTCGTGATCATGCTCAGCCATCTGCCCCAGCTCAGCCAGTCGCAGTTCCACCAGCTCTACCATCTACCCAGCCGCCAAAGAACAACAAGAGGAAGGGAAAAGGTGCCCCGGCAGATAAGAGGACCCGACGGAGGCTACAGGAGATTCCACCATGCCCGACTTGTGGTCGACTTCATAGGGGAGAGTGTCGTGCTGGACAGGACATCTGTTACTTTTGCCAGGAGCCGGGACACTTTGCGAGTCGTTGCCCGAAGAAACTCCAGCAGCAGCCTCAGCAGCCACCACAGCAGCAGCAGCCACCACAGCAGGCACAGAGGCCGCCTCAGCAGCAGCAGCAGCAGCAGAGGGGCAGGCAGCAGGCCAGGGTTTACGCGGTCGATCAGGCGGAGGCAGCACAGCAACCAGGTACCATGTCCGGGATGGTTGTTCTCAATGATATTCTTGTGTTCGCTTTATTTAATACTGGAGCGACGCATACCTTTATTTCACGACGGTGTCTCGACGCCATCGGAGTTCACGCAGTTACCGCTGTCGATCCTCTCGAGGTGAGTTTAGCCTCGGGACGAAAGATAGTGACCCCAGCTAAAGCCTCAGATCTTAGCCTTTCTATCGGTGGCCGAGTATTGACTGCCGACGCGTTTGTTCTCGAGATGAAGGATTTCGATCTTATTCTCGGGATGGATTGGCTATCCTTTTATCATGCTGTCATCAGGTGTCATGACCGGGAGATCATCCTCTATCTTCCGGGAGACGAGTCGATTACTTTCTTCGGCTCTAAGAACTGTTCACTGCCTCATGTTATTTCGATGACGAAAGCCACTAAGTTATTGCAACGAGGCAACTGCCAGGGTTACCTGGTAAGCCTTGTTGAGGATTCTCAGAAAGCGCGGACACCTCATGATGTTCCAGTCGTTCGCGAGTTTGTGGACGTGTTCCCAGACGAGCTTCCAGGAGGACCGCCCAACCATCAAGTGGAGTTTTCTATTGATCTTATCCCAGGGGCCGGTCCAGTATCCAAAGCCCCATATCGCATGGCGCCTAAAGAGTTACAGGAGCTTAAGACCCAGATTCAGGAGCTATTACGACTCGGTTTCATCCGACCGAGCGTGTCACCGTGGGGAGCAACCGTTCTCTTTGTTAAGAAGAAGGACGGATCTATGCGCATGTGTATCGACTACTGGGATCTCAACCGGTTGACGATCAAGAATAAGTACTCGCTTCCCAGGATCGACGACTTATTTGATCAGTTGAGGGGAGCCTGTGTATTTTCGAAAATCGATTTACGATCAGGCTACCACCAGCTGAAGATTAAGGAGTCAGACATCGCTAAGACCGCTTTCAGGACTCGTTACGGCCATTACGAGTTTGTGGTCATGCCTTTCGGTCTCAGCAATGCGCCAGCAGTCTTTATGGATCTCATGAACCGTATCTTTCATCCATACCCCGATCAGTTCGTTATTGTCTTTATTGACGATATCCTTATCTACTCGAAGAGTCAGAAGGAGCATGAGGAGTATCTGAGGGTGGTTCTTGAAACCCTCAGACGAGAGAAGTTGTACGCTAAATTCTCCAAATGCGAGTTCTGGCTTCAGCGAGTATCTTTTCTGGGTCATGTTATTACCCAGG